AACTTGAGATCACCTCTTGAATAATTTTTTTAAACAGATAACATGGCCAGGTGGAGTAGCTCACACCTGTAGTCCCAGCACTTCAGGAGGCCAAGGCAGGAGCATCACTTGAGCCCAGGAGTTCAAGATTAGCCTGGGCAACATAGGGAGACCCCCAACTCTACAATAAATACAAAAAATTAGCCCGGTGTGGTAGTGCATGCCTGTGGTCCCAGCTACTTGGTGGGCTGAGGTGGGAGGGTTGCCTGAGCCTGGGCAGTCGAGGCTGCGGTGAACTATGATGACCGTTGCACTCCAGCCTAGGTGACAGAGTAAGACTCTATCTCAAAAAATAAATAAGTAAATAGATAATGTTACTAGGGTGAGAATGAGCCCTCCTTTCGATTGCTCAATCGTAGTTTTTGAATACCTAGTATGTGTCAGGCAATGAGCTGAGTGTCAGGGATATTCAGTCCATTGAGAAATCCGTACATCTGTTTTTTTATTCATCAAACAAATTGTTATCGAATATCTGGTACTATACCAAATACCAGAAATACTATGGTAAATGAAATACTCTTCTAGCCCAGAAGCTTACAACCGTCAGTTAGTGGAGTAAAACAGGTGAATAAGCTGCTTCACTGCAGGGTGATACATTCTAATGTAGAGATGAGCACCGGACGCTGGAGGAGGACACTGGAGGAGGACCTATGCAGCCTGGGGCTGGGACAGCTTCCCCAATGTGACATTTTAGCTGAGACATGAAAGGGGGTGGTACTGGTGGAGTCCTGAGCAGAGGAAGAAGATGGCATGTGCAGAGTCCTAGTGCCAAAGAGAGCTCAGTGTGTTCAGGGACCTGTGAGTCGTTCCGAATGAATGCATGCAGGAAGTGGTAAAAAAGAAAAAAAAAAAATTGATACTGCAGTGGAAAGCACCGGCAAGCTCCAGAGTGCCTTGTGGACTTAGTTGAGGCATCTGACCTTCCTTTATCCCAAGAACAGGCTTTCCCAAATGTGGCTGGATGATAAGAAGATCTTAGATAGTACACAGAATACAGTTTTTTATTTTCGTAGTTAATGGAGTGAACATGCATAGAAATATATATATATATTTCATACACCCAACACATGGCTTATCTTATATTATTGCTTAGGATGAGATTGAGTGACAAAAGTAATTCAACTGACAGACAGAATACTACCTAGATTATAGTTGGTACATGAATAACCATGAATGACTGATGTTTGGGCAAAAATGCCTGAGGCTGACAGATTGCCATGGAAAGCTTTTATGTAGGGAAGTCGCATAAGAATACTTATAGGTTAGAAAGAACACTGGTTGTGGAGAATAGATAAGGACAGTATTTGCCAAACTTCTGGTTAAGTCGCATGAGTGGATTCTGAAATAAAATTTAAAGTTGTGCTGGGTGCAGTTGTGCACACCTGCAATCCCAGCTACTGGCAAAGCTGAGATGGGAAGATTACTTGAGCCCAGGAGTTCAAGAGTGGGAGGGTTTGCAGTGGAGAAATCACATGATCACAGCCTGGGCAACACAGTGAGACCCCGTCTCAAAAAAAAATTTTTTTTAATTTTCTTAAAGTTGTAACTGGCAGGGTTTTTTCAGTAAAACATAATAGGATACAATAAACAGTATCAGACAGCTTCACATACAATCAGATGGCACCACACATAACAATACTTTTAATTTTACATATGCACCTGTAAGCATGCATGCATGTGTGTGTTACTAGGTTACAGCACAAAATATTTTTCTTACTGTGGGTCAAAGTCAAAGAAAGTTTAAAATTCACTGGAAACAGACCAATTAGGAGTCTGTTGCAGTATTTTATTCATTCAATTAGTGTTTATTGAGTACATATTATGTAACAGGTGCTATTCTAGGCACTGAGAATATGGCTGGTGAACAAAATTGATAATGTGCCTGATCTCACAACATTTACACTTTGGTGAGGAGAGGATACAATGAGCAAGTAACCAAATAAGTTCCTAAGACAAGAGAAGTCAAGTTCTTTAAAAAGCAATAAATCCGAGGGAGAAATGTAGGCTCCATACAGGCTAGTCTCTTTTTTTTTTTTTTTTTTTTTTTTTTTTTTTTTTTTTTTTTTCATTGCCTTGTTCCAAGCATGGAGAATAGGAATAGTGCTTGGAACATAATAGCTGCTCAGTAAGTATTCATTGAATGAATGAATGAATGAATCATTCAATGAAGGATGCTGTTGACTTGGGTAGTTACGATAGAAATTAAGAGAAGTAGATGGGTTCAAGATATATTTAAGAGGTAAAATAAATGGGGTTTAGTGAGAAAAGTAGGATTTGGGGGTTAAGAGATAAAAATGAGATGAATCGTTTCTCTACAACCTACTCTAAAGATAGTAACCAGAGTGATCATGTGATTTCTCCACTGCAAACCCTCCCACAGCTTCCTGTTGTACTCAGAGTAAAGCCCAAGCTCCTTACAATGGCCAAGAATGCTGCCCATGACCTGGACTTGGGTACCTCACTAACCTCATCACTAAAAATCTTCCTCTTTCTCTCTCTGTTCCAGCCACACTGGCCACCTTGCTGTTCCCCAAACCCCCAGTTAAGACTCTGGTCAAGGCATTTGCACTCACTGCCCCCTCTTGAAATGCTCTTCTCCCAAATAGTCACATAGCATAGACCTCTCTTTCTTCAAGTGTCTCCTTCTTGGAGAGGTCTGTTCTCACCACCTAATATTACAACTCATGTACCTTGATATGCATTCTTCTGCCTGCTCAATTTTTCCCCATAGCACTTATTGTGAGATGTGTGTATGGGGTGTGTGTATGTGTGTGTGTGTGCAGCACTCTAACATACTATTATAGTCGATTATCCTCATTGTCTGTCTCCCACAGGAATGTCACTATCCATGAGCCTAAAGCAGTTTGGCACATTATAGGTGCTCCATCAATATTTGTTGAAAAAACAAAGACAACTCTCAGGTTTCTGGTTTGAGCAACCGGGTGACTGTGGCTCATTGAGGCAGGAAACACAGAAGGATACAGGGTCTGATGGGAAGTGACAAGTTCCTTTTTGGACGTGCTGAGTCTGTGTCTTGTGAGACCAATGTCGAGGTGGGAATTCCCTTTAGGCAGTTGAATATATGGGTCTGGTCCTCCAGAGAGCCACAGATATAAACTTGAGGGATCACTGGCTTATAGATGGCATTTGAATGGATGAGACAGCAAGAAAATGTATACAGAGATGAAGAGAAGACCTTGGAGAAACAGCAGGAGCTGAAAAACAGCAATAGTAGAAGAGCCCACAAAGGAAAGAGAGCAAGAGATGGAGTTGGGATGAAAAGCAGTTGTGGAAATTCATGGGAGAGTAGTTTTAAGAAGGGAGGTGTATTTAATATGTATTCCTGTGTAAAACTTATTCCAGCCTCATAACTATATATAATTATTATGTATCAATTAAAAATACATTTTAAGGCCAAGCGTGGTGGCTCACGCCTGTAATCCCAGCACTTTGGGAGGCTGAGGCAGGAGGATCACTTGAGGTCAGGAGTTCGAGACCAGCCTGACCAACATGGTGAAATCCCATCTTTACTAAAAATACAAAAATTAGCCACGCATGGTGGTGGGCACCTGTAATCCCAGCTACTCAGGAGACTGAGGCAAGAGAATTGCTTTAACCTGGAAGGTGGAGGTTGCAGTGAGCCAAGATCGTGCCACTGCACTCCAGCCTAGGTGACAGAGCAAGACTCTGTCTCAAAAAATAAATTTAAAATAATTAACCCAAAATTTAGTGGCTGAAAGCAAAACACATTTATTATCTCACTGTCTGATAAAACACATTCTGTCTCTCTACACTGTCACACAGAACACTGCTAACACCAGGTGTACAGGGTTTTTTCCACACTGAAAATTCTCTGACACCAGTTGGGTGTCCTACAGTTCAATTCTGACACTATCTACCTGGAGTTTGGGTTAGATCCCACAAGTTAAGGGCTCATTCCCACAAGACTGCTCCCACCAAAGATGCCAGTCTCAAGTCCAGGCCTCTTGTGCTTCTGATCCACCCACTGTAAGTTGGGGTGCAATCATCTCCTCATGTGCAATAATTTTCTAAAATGGGGCACAGAACTCAGAAAAACACTCTATTTACATTTATGGTTTATCATAAAGGGTACTGCTAAAGCAAACTAAAATGGCCTGAGAAAGATTCCATACTTCTATATTTGAGTCCTTGTGGATGAACCGTAACCTAGCTTAATAGTCAGACAAAATTGAAAACCTAACTTAGGAGTGGCCGGCCGTGGTGGCTCATGCCTGTAATCTCAGAACTTTAGGAGGCTGAGGTGGGCGGATCACTTGAGGTCAGGAGTTTGAGACCAGCCTGGCCAATATGGTGAAACCCCATCTCTACTAAAAATACAAAAATTAGCCGGGCGTGGTGGCACACACCTGTAGTCCCAGCTTCTCAGGAGGCTGAGGCAGGAGAATTGCTTGAACCTGGGAGGCGGAGGTTGCAGTGAGCCCAGATTGCTCCATTTTACTCTAGTGTGGGTGTCGTAGTGAGACTCTGTCTCAAAAAAAAAAAAGAAAAGAAAAAAAGAAAACCTAATTTAGGAGTATGTGCCTGTTACAATAACTGAGTCTTGGCCAATCCCAGCAGCCATACTTCATTCATAGATAGCTAAGTGTTCAAACTGTGTTCCAATAAGGCAGACACCAACCTGTAATCAATCCAGCTGTTTCTGTACCTCACTGCCGATTTCTGTATGTCATATCCTTTGTTTTTGTTTGTTTTGTCTATAAGTCTTCTTCCACCATGTGGCTGCACTGGAGTCTCTGTGAATCTGCTGTGATTCTGGGGGCTGCCCGATTCGTGAATCGTTCATTGCTCAATTAAACTCCTTTAAATTTAATTTGGCTGAAGTTTTTGTTTTGTTTTGTTTTTAAGACAGAGTCTCATTCTGCAGCCCAGGCTGGAGTGCAGTGGCACAATCTTGGCTCACTACATGAAGTTTGGTTTGTTGTTGTTGTTGTTGTTGTTGTTTTAATCAGAACAGATGAACAGCCAGATGAAGGGATACATGGGGTGTAGTCTGGAAGGATCCCAAGAATAGGAGCTCTGTCCTTGTGGAGTTGGGGTTCACCACCCTCCTGTCATCCTACTATTATTGTTGTGCAAGAGTTTTCAAAGAGCTTAATCTCTACCGCCTTCCAGGAGGTCTGTTGGTAGGCCTGAAAGTTCTAACCTTATAATCACTTGGTCTTTCTGGTGACCAGCCCCATCCTGAGGCTATCTAGGGGCAAGTTACCTCATTAATGTAAACTCAGATGTGACCAAAAAGGTTTCATTATGAATAACAAAAGAAACTCATGAAATTCCAAGGGCTTTAGGAGCTCTGTCCCAAGAACCAGAGACCAAGACCAAATACATTTCTTGTTACACCACACACTATTTCTGTGGGTACAGGGTCCTGCACTACCTAACTGGGTCCTCTGTTTTAGGGTCTCTTACAAGGATGTAATCAAAGTGTCACTCAAGGCTGTGGTCTTATCTGCAGGCTTCTCTAGATAGTGATCCTCTTCCAAACTGTTGGCAAACTGTTTCAATTGTTGACAGGATTCAGTTTTCTAAGGACTATTGGACTGAGGGCCTCAGATCTTTCTCATGGGGATCTCTGTACAGGGCACCGCACAACATGGGAGCTTGCTTCATTCACCAGAGCAAACCTGAAAGAAGAATCCAAGAAAGAGTGTAAGCGAGTCTTCTATAACCTCATCTTGGAAGTGCTATGTCATTCCATCTCACTTTTGTCTTATTCTAGTCATTAGAAGCAAGATACTAGGCTCAGCCCACACAAAAGGAAGGGATTAAAAAAGGGAGTGAATACCAGGAGTCGCTTTCGAAACAGCCTCCTACAGAGGATGCGTCGGTAGTGTTAAAAGTCATAGAGTGGTCAAGCGTCCAGGACACTTGGCAGCAAGGAGCAGCGTTTGTTATTTTAGAGAGAGCTGGCTTAGCAGAGTGTGGAGGCAAAGCCAGATGATGAAGGTCTGAAGAGTGAATCAGAATGGAAGAAGTAGAGGTGGCAAGCACAGACAATTCTTTGAAGAGGCTTAGCTATAAAGGGAAGGAGAGTGATAGGGTGGCTGCAGGAAGGAATGGAGTCAAAGTCGATGGTGTTTTATTATTATGATTATTATTTGAAAGAGATTTAAATGCATTTAAAAGTTATTGGGGGCTGGGTGTGGTTGTTCATGCCTCCCAGCAGTTTGGGAGGCCAAGGAAGGAGGCTCACTTGTGGCCATGAGTTTGAGACCTGCCTGGGCAACTTAGCAAGAACGCTGTCTCTACAAAAATTTTAAAAATTAGCCAGGTATAGTGGTGCACGCCGGTAGTCCCAGCTACTCGGGAGGTTGAGGTGGGAGGATCACTTGAGCCCGGGAGGTGGAGGATGCAGTGAGCCAAGATTGTGCCACTGCACTGCAGCCCAGAAGACAGAGTGAGACCCTATCTCTAAAGAAAATAGTAAAAATAAAAATAAATAAGTTATTGGATAAGTATGTATAGAAAAAAGGGATTAAAGAAAGAAACTGGATCTCTTCCTTACACTGTATACAAAAAGTAACTCAAGATGGATTAAAGACTTAAATGTAAGACCTAACACCATAAAAACCCCAGAAGAAAACCTAGGCAATACCACTCAGGACACAGGCACGGGCAAGGACTTCATGACTAAAACGCCAAAAGCAATGGCAACAAAAGCCAAAATAGACAAATGGGATCTAATTAAACTAAAGAGCTTCCACACAGCAAAAGAAACTACCATCAGAGTGAACAGGCAACCTACAGAATGGGAGAAAATTTTTGCAATCTATCCATCTGACAAAGGGCTAATATCCAGAATCTACAAAGAACTTAAACAAATTTACAAGAAAAAAACAAACAACCCCATCGAAAAGTGGGCAAAGGATATGAACAGACACTTCTCAAAAGAAGACATTTATGCAGCCAACAGACACATGAAAAAATGCTCATCATCACTGGCCATCAGAGAAATGCAAATCAAAATCACAATGAGATACCATCTCACACCAGTTAGAATGGCAATCATTAAAAAGACAGGAAACAACAGATGCTGGAGAAGATGTGGAGAATTAGGAATGCTTTTACACTGTTGGTGGGAGTGTAAATTAGTTCAACCATTGTGGAAGACAGTGTGGTGATTCCTCAAGGATCTAGAACTAGAAATACCATTTGACCCAGCAATCCCATTACTGGGCATATGCCCAAAGGATTATAAATCATTCTATGATAAAGACACATGCCCACGTATGTTTACTGTGGCACTATTCATAATAACAAAGACTTGGAACCAACCCAAATGTCCATCAATGATAGACTGGATTAAGAAAATGTGGTACATATACACCATGGAATACTATGCAGTCATAAAAAAGGATGAGTTCATGTCTTTGCAGGGACATGGATGAAGCTGGAAACCATCATTCTAAGCAAACTATCACAAGGACAGAAAAGCAAACACCACATGTTCTCACTCATAGGTGGGTGTTGAACAATGAGAACACATGGACACAGGGTGGGGAACATTACACACCAGGGCGTATTGGGGGGTGGGGGGCTGGGGGAGAGATAGCATTAGAAGAAATACCTAATGTAGATGACGAGTTGATGGGTGCAGCAAACCAACATGGCACATGTATACCTATGTAACAAACCTGCACGTTGTGCACTTGTACCCTAGAATTTAAGGTAGAATAATTTTAAAAAAGGTTTTTAAAAGGCAGTAGAGTGTGCGCTTCAGCAGCACATATACTAAAATTGGAACGGTACAGAAAAGATTAGCATAGCCCCTACTGGGCCCATCTGGGTGTGGTGGCTCATACTTGTAATCCCAGCACTTTGGAAGGCTCAGGAGGGAGGATCACTTGAGCTCAGGAGTTCGAGACCAGCCTGGCAACATAGTGGGACCCCATTTCCACAAAACAAGAAAAAACTAGTGGGGCATGGTGATGTGAGCCTATAGTTCCAGCTGCTTGAGAGGCTGAGGTGGGAGGATGGCTTGAGCCCAAGAGGTCATACTGTAGTAAGCTATGATCACACCAGCTTAGGTGACAGGGTGAAACCTTGTCTCCAAAAAACAAAGGTGTATGGGGCGGTCGTAGGCCTGAAGAAAGGGGCTCCAAGCACAATAGAAGTATTAGGCAAAGGGGCAGAAGAGAGGGCAAGGGTAGATGGAGGTCAATCTGTGGAAGCAATGACAGGAAATCAATAGACGCTTTTATTTCCTCTGTAAACCACGAGATCACCTGCTGAGAGGAAGCGGGAAGGTGCTGTGGTAGGAGGTCAGAAGAGTTTGGAGAAGGTTTGAGATGGCTGCATTCAAAGGGGAAAATAAAGAGATTAAGAGCAGCTTGAGGACTCTGAGATTAGACCCATAAGGAGCAGCTTGTTATGTCACTTTCTCTAGCAGCATCCAGCAGCTCAGGTGGAATGTGGGAAGGCCAACAAATAACCGCAATGAGCTCAAAGTTTCCTAAGGTCAGCACTGCAAAGAATATGGGTCAAGGAAATCAATGGCGCTGGCAAAAGGGACAGACCTGTGGTCTAGCCAGAGAGGAGAGAAATCCCATTCAGAGTGCAGGAGCGGATGGGGCTAACGGGAGATAATAAAAGGGCCAAACCCTCAATACAACTGAAAACCAGGCACAGTGAGCAAAACGGAGTAAGAGAGCTGAAAGTTAGATAATTGGGGTCAGAGATAGAGACGAATCACTTGGGTGGGGTGATCAGGGATGGAGAAGACCAGTAGTGAGTCCAGGAGAGAGATGATTTGGGCCTAAAAAACTACCCTTTATTAAGCCCCTACTTGTCCAGGCTTAACATGCTAAAAGCTTTACCTGTATAATCTCATGTAATACAACTCTCAAAGGTAAGGCTTGTATCAGCATTTTACAGAAGAGGAAAGAGGCCAAGAGAAACTACATACTTGGCTGGGCACAGTGGCTGATGTCTGTAATTCCAGCACTTTGGGAGGCCAAGGTAGGCGGATTACTTGAGGTCAGGAGTTAGCCTGGCCAACATGGTGAAATCCCATCTCTACTAAAAATACAAAAATTAGCTGGGCATGGTGGCACATGCCTGTAATCCCAGCTGCCTTTTAAACAGAACCCTTAACTTTCTTTTTTTGAGATGAAGTTTCACTGTGTTGCCCAGGCTGGAGTACAGTAACACAATCTTGGCTCACTGCAACCTCCATCTCCTGGGTTCAAGCAATTCTCCTGTCTCAGCCTCCTGAGTAGCTGGGATTATAGGCACCCACCACCAAGCCCAGCTAATTTTTTTAGTTTTAGTAGAGATGGGGGTTTCACCATGTTGGCCAGGCTGATCTTAAACTCCTGACCTCAAGTGATCCACCTGCCTTGGCTTGCCAAAGTGCTGAGATTATGGCACACCCAGCCAGAACTCTTTTTCTTCTTCTTGTTCTTCTTCTTCTTTTTTTTTTCTTTTTGAGACACAGCTTCGCTCTTGTTGCCCAGGCTGGAGTGCAACGGCGTGACCTCGGCTCACTGCAACCTCTGTCTCCTGGGTTCAAGCAATTCTCTTGCCTCAACCTACAGAGTAGCTGGGATTACAGGCGCCTGCCACCACACCCGGCTAATTTTTGTACTTTTAGTAGAGATAGGGTTTCACCATATTGGCCAGGCTTGTCTCAAACTCCTGACCTCAGGTGATCCACCTGCCTTGGCCTCCCAAAGTTCTGAGATTACAGGCGTGAGCCACCGCACCTGGCCACAGGGCTCTTACCTTTCTAAATAATTCTCCAATCTGTCTTGTGGTTTCATCTTTAACACACCTGCCTTAGTTTAGGCTCTGAGTGGCAGTATCACCTAGCACAGCACAGTGCTTCTCAAACTGGCTGCTTCAGTTATCTGTAAGGCATATTGAAACGCAAATTACTAGGCCCTACCCCAATCTGAGAACCCCAGAATATCTGATTCAGTAGGTCTTGGATAGGATCTGATAATGTGCATTTCTGTCAAATTTCCGGGCATTGCTGATGCTGCTGGTTGCTGGTTGAGACCCAGTGGCCTAGAGGTTGATTTCAAATGTTACCGAGGCCTCTTACTTACTATATGACCTTCGGCAACTTATGTAGTTTCTTTTTTACTTATTTTATTTTATTTTTTGAGACAGAGTCTCACTCTGTCACCTAGGCTGGAGTGCAGCGGCACTATCTGGCCCACTGCAACCTCCAACTCCCAGGTTTAAGCAATTCTCCCTGCCTCACCCTCCCAAGTAGCTGGGATTAGAGGCGCCCACCACCACACCTGGCTATTTTTTGTATTTTTAGTAGAGACAAGGTTTCGCCATGTTGGCTTGTCTTGAACTCCTGACCTCAGGTGATTTGCCCACCTTGGCCTTCCAAAGTGTTGGGATTACAGGCGTGAGCCAGTGCTCCTGGCCCCAACTTACATGTTTTTAATTGCTTATGCTTTGAGTGTCATATCTAAGAAATTATTACCTAATCCGAGGTCAAAAAGATCTACACTGATGTTTTCTTCCAAGAGTTTTATGATTTTAGCTCTTTTTTTTTTTTTTTTTTTGAGACGAAGTTTCGCTCTGTCGCCCAGGCTGGGGTGCAGTGGCGTGATCCCTGCTCACTGCAAGCTCTACCTCCCGGGTTCACACCATTCTCCTGCCTCAGCCTCCCTAGTAGCTGGGACTACAGGTGCCTGCCACCATGCCCGGCTAATTTCTTGTATTTTCAGTAGAGACGGGGTTTCACCGTGTTAGCCAGGATGGTCTCTATCTCCTGACCTCGTGATCCACCCACCTCAGCCTCCCAAAGTGCTGGGATTACAGGCGTGAGCCACCGCGCCCGGCCGATTTTGGCTCTTACATTTAGGAAGTTGATGATTTTGAGTTAATTTTTGTATATGGTGATAGGTCAGATAATTCTTATGATTCCATGAGATGATTATTGCAGACTACAAGGCACGTTGTAAGCACTCAGGGACTGGCATCTAGTATCATTATTGTATGATTTGTTTAAAGAAATCGCCAATGTATGATAATCATTGAATAAACTGCAGAGAAAGATCAATCTTACTTCTTCACGGTCATGTCTTCTTTGGGGGAAAAAAACATAATATGATCACCTAATTTGATTGTCCAACTTGCTCATCATCCTTGGTAACTTCTAGTTGTTTCCAAAAGGAGGAAGACTTGCCACAGGTAGAGAATTCAAAGCAGAGGTTGGTCGCAAAGGCAGGCCTGGCACCATCCTGGGGAATGATGTACCTCTGGCAGAAGCATAAAGCCTCCCAGGGTGACTGCATAAGAGGGAAAAACATGCATTTTGGCATGGGTGTTTTTCATGAAACATTATAGTTTCATCTTTATGTTTCTATGTCCATGTGCATAAATATTTATTCACATAAGTTTTACGCAGAATTAATTTACTTCTAGGGATTTACCCAGGACCCAAGTGCTACAATTAAGTCATCAATCCAGCTATCCAAATATACCACATTCATTCTCTGGATCTTCCGTATTCTCAGTGGTTCCATGCGAGTCTTCTCTTGGGAAGTCTTGCACAAGAGAAACACTGAAATATCAGTGTTTTTAATTGGGTGTGGAGACTGCTTTGCCCCATTGTATATTTGGCAATGTCTGGAGGTATTTTTGGTTGTTACATCTGAAGGGGCATTATTGGCATCTAGTGGGTGGAGACCAGGGATGCTGCTAAACATCCTACAATGCACAGAATACTCCCCATACAAAAAATTATCCAGCCCAAAATGTCAATAGTGCCAAGGCTGAGAAACCCTGACTAGCTATGTGTGAGTTGTCTATGCTTACACTTTGAACTAAGGCAGCAAGCTGTGATGGCTCTGGAATCAGAGAGACTGGGCTCAAATCCCAGTGCTGTCACTTACTGCCCCTGTGAGCCGGAGCAAGTTCCTCTACCTTTCTGAGCCTTAGTTTCATCTACTAATCACTCTAATATCTATCCATGTGTGTATAAAATAATCGAATATACATAATAATCGTCTAACATATTTTACATCATCTTATGTGTAAACACATACACACACACATATGTGTGTGTATTATATGCTGCTCAATGACTAGTACATATTAAATACTCAATAAATATTAGCTGACATTAATATAGGTGATAGCAATATTATATTTAAGAAAAACTCTTAGGGCCAGGCATGGTGGCTCACACCTGAAATCCCAGCACTTTGGGAGGTCAAGGCAGGAGAACTGCTTGAGCTCAGGAGTTCAAGACCAATTTGGGCAAAATAGTGAGACCCTGTCTCCACTAAAAATAAAAAATATTGGCCAGGCATGGTGGCTAATGCCTGTAATCCCAGCTCTTTGGGAGGCCGAGGCGGGTGGATCATGAGGTCAGGAGATCGAGACCATCCTGGCTAACATGGTGAAACCCTATCTCTACTAAAAATACAGAAAAATTAGCCGGACGTGGTGGCGGGCACCTGTAGTCCCAGCTACTCAGGAGGCTGAGGCAGAATGGCGTGAACCCGGGAGGCGGAGCTTGCGGTGAGCAGAGATCGCGCTACTGCACTCCAGCCTGGGTGACAGAGCCAGACGCTGTCTCAAAAAAAAAAATATATATATATATATATTTGCCGGGTATGGTGGCACAAGCCTTCAGTCCCAGCTACTTGGAAGGTGGGAGGACTGCTGGGGCCAGGGAGATCGAGGCTTTAGTGAGCTATGATTGCACCACTGCACTTCAGCCTGGGCAACAGAGCAAGACCCTGTCTCAAATAAATAATCCCTTAGTTGTTTTTTTTTTTTTAAGTCGGGATTATTGGCTGGGCACGGTGGCTCATGCTTGTAATCCCAACACTTTGGGAGGCAAAAGTGGGCAGATCCCTTGAGGTCAGGAGTTCGATACCAGGCTGGCCAAAGTGGCAAACCCCGTCTGTACTAAAAATACAAAAATTATCAGGGCATAGTGGTGCATGCCTGTAGTCCCAGCTACTCGGGAGGCTGAGGTATGAGAATCGCTTGAACCTGGGAGGCAGTGGTTGCAGTGAGCCGAGATCATGCCACTGCACTCCAGCCTGGGCGAGAGGGCAAGACTCTATCTCAAAAAAAATAAAATAAAAAATAAAAAAAGTCAGGTTTATTGAAGTATAATTTACACAAAATATAGTTTATCCTTTTACAGCATACATTCAATGAGTTTTGGCAGATACCATTCTATAACCACCACCACAATCAAGATATCAAAGTTTCATCACCCCACAAAATTCCCTCATATGCCTTTGTAGAAAATTATCATCCACACCCAGCCACAGACAACCACTAATCTGCTCTCTGCCCTTATAGTTTTTTGCCTTTTTCAAAATATTGTGTAAATGAAATATAGCCTTTTATGTCTGGCTTCTTTCATTCACATGATACTTTTGAGACTCATCCAAGTTGTTGCATGTATCAGTAGCTTTGTTCCTTTTCATTTGAGTAGTATTCCATTGTTTAGAGGTACCGCAATTTGTTTATCAAGTTACTAGTTGAGTTGATGTACTTCTGGGTTATTCATCCGACAGGGGTAGGATTTCTGGGTCCTATGCTAACTGTATGTTTAACTTTGTAAGAAATTGCCAAGCGCCTTTCCCAAAGTAACTATCATTTTGCATATTGATCCAAATCCTCGTCAGCACTTGGTGCTGTCTGGTTTTTTTGTTTGTTTGTTTGTTTGTTTTGTACTTTAATTTTAGCCACTCTAGAAGGCAGATAGTGGTATCTTGTTGTGTTTTAAATTTGCATTATCCCTAATAACTAGCAATGTTAAGCTCTTTCATCTTTATTTCATTTTGTAAAATACAGGACGTTTTGGATGCTTTAAATCTCAAAAACTATATTAGGTCGAAATAAACATATTCATGCTGATAAGAATTAAATGCATGCCTTCTCTCCACCCCATCATCTCCAAAGTGACTGCTTCCCCACTTCCCATAAGAAAAGAAATGTCTGGTTTTGTGTACTCTCTAGCAACCCAAGCTGTAGCCAATCTGCGTCATCCTCACTGTGTAATTAGAGGCTGGAGGTGCCCACGTGTCTCATTTTAGGATCCTGTGGGCTACATTTGGCCCAGATTAGGTTATACTTTAGGCATTTCACTGCATATCTCTTCTTTTTCCTCTCAATGTTCCATTTCTCAGAATGTTTGTTCTTCAGAGAACAAATAGATCTGGGCTGGCATGAAGAGTCTCATTCTCTGAGGACAGTGGGGTGAAAAGAACCTCTGTCAGGCACGATCTCAAAAGCAGAAAAGAAAAGAACTCAAAACCCACCAGCCCTCGATGGCTCAGAGTCTTGGACTCAAACCCAGCAAGAGTGTACTGCTTCACTTACTAAAATCGTCTGTCCACAAAAATCCTGTTTATTTCACAAGTGGGCACTGGCCCTGCCCACGTCGTCCACGTTTTCCTCTCCCTTCTTCTCACACAGAACCTACCACCACCACCACTTTTCCTTGCTTCCTAGTTATGATTGCCAGATAAAATGCAGGATGTCCAGTTAAAATTGAATTTCAGATCAACAATAAAATTTTTTTTGGTATAAGTACACCTTGTACAATATTTGGAGGCTACCTCCACTGCCAATGTGGAGGGAACTAGTTTATTTTTATTAAGGAAGTCATGCACTTATTTGTTGAAAGAGACAAGAACCTGTTTGACTTCTTTTGGATCTATGCGTGGTTGTTTTCAGAGGCAACTGCTTACTTTCCCCACTGCAGCATCGGTCATGAGACTTCAGAAGCATGAAGAAACAGAGCTAGATGACAGTGACCTACCTTTCAGGAACAATCCCTATTAAAAAAAAAAAAAAAAAAAAAAAAAAAAAAAAAACAGAAAAGAAAAGTTCTCTCCTCGCTGGCTCTGTATAATCAGATGAAAAACTGACTACCAGTCGGGCGCAGTGGCTCACGCCTGTAATTCCAGCACTTTGGTAGGCCGAGGTGGGTGGATCACCTGAGGTCAGGAGTTCGAGACCAGCCTGACCAACATGGTGAAACTCTGTCTCTACTAAAAATACAAAATTAGCTGGGTGTGGTGGAGCATGCCTGTAATCCCAGCTACTCAGGAGACTGAGGCAGGAGAATTGCATGAACCCAGGAGGTGGAGGTTGCAGTGAGCTGAGATTGTGCCACTGCACTCCAGACTAACGACAGAGTGAGACTCCGTCTCAAAAATAAGTAAATAAAATACAAATAAATAAAAGGGCCACTTCAGCTCATTTCTGCCCAGCGCTTTGGAAGGCTAAGTTGGGAGGATCACTTGAGGCCAGGAGTTTGAAACCAGCCTGGGCAACATAGCAAGACCACACCCCCGCCCCCACCCGCGGTCATCTCTACGAAAATTAAATTAAATTTAAATTTAAAAACTCATTTCTGGAGTCAGTTTGATATAAATTCATTCATTTAATTGCAATAGTTTTGGGTTGCTGCACTGGATACCAAACCTGCTAAGGTCCGCTTCCCCTACAGGTAAGGGCAACAAGCAAATTGGAACGCTCTGGCCCCACATGTAAGTTTTACAGGAAAAAAAATGCAAAACATAAGTAAATGTAAACAGAACAAACAATACTTTTTAATAGAAGAGAAGAAATTTATTGAATGCCTCCTATGTGCAATGTTTCCTGTGTGCATTATCTACATGTATCTAATTTTTGCTAACGTGTTTCTGAGTTGTGTGTTATTAGACTCTGAGTACAATAATTTGCCCAATGCTAGTGGGTAGCTTGGACTTGAATTAAGGTCAGTCTGATTCTGAAACCAGGGGTTTCCTTCCTAATCTGCACAAGTCCTATAGCACCATCATCCAGGTGAAGGAAAGAGATGCTTCCCAGTAAAAATTCTCAGGGCCATGTGGGAACTATCTCATCAAGTCATCCCCATAGTCCAAGGCCTGTGATTCCCACAACCAAGCAGAACCCACCTGGACAGCTCTGACAGTGATGCAAAGGAGAGGCTGAAGGTGCCATGGCCATGGATTGTTTGAGGCAGCCCTGGGGCTTGAGTGAAGGGTCAGGACTAGAGGTGGGTAACTGTCTCCTTCCAATGTCATCATCTTCTCTGGAAATGATCTGAAATACAGAGCAGACATGAGAAGCAACTACAAAAATGGAGGCATCCAAAAGTCATTGACACAGAGGGGAGTAAAATCATCTTGTAATTGCCAGAGGCCAGAGCAGCAAATAGATCAGGAATCAGGCAGGCTTAGAAATCCAATATCATTTCTAGCCACCAAAGCACCATGACCTGACTGTGGCTCCAAGGTAACGAACGTCTGGGCCAGCCGTGTTCAGGGACTGGGACCTGCGTCCTCAGATGTGAACACCAACAACAGCAAGAGCTAACATTTTACATAGAACTTTCCAGGTGCCAGGCTCTGTCTGAAAACTGTATATCCATGAACTCATCTACTCTTTACAACAGCCATTTGAGATTAGTACTCTTATTATCCCCCTTTTATAAATGAGAAAACTGGGGCAAGGAGAGATTAAGTAACTTGCCCAAGATCCCACAGTGGGTAGGTGGCAGAGCTGGGATTCAAGTGGGGCGGTCTGTGCTCTTAGCCATCAGGCCATACTGCTCTGTGCTCTTTGCACTGGTCCAGGAGCCGTGCTAATGAGGTCTGAAGGAAGGATTAAAATGATGAGTTGGGGCCGGGTGTGCTGGTTCATGCCTGTAATCCCAGCACTTTGGGAGGCTGAGGCGGGTGGATCACCTGAGGTCAGGAGTTTGAGACCAGCCTGGCCAACATGGCAAAACCCCGTCTCTACTAAAAATACAAAAGATTAGCTGGGGTGATGGTGGGTACCTGTAATCCCAGCTTCTTGGGAGGCTGAGGCAGGAGAATTACTAGAACCCAGGAGGCGGAGATTCAGTGAGCCAAGATCACACCACTGTACTCCAGCTTGGGCAACAAAGTGAGACTCTGTCTCAAAAAAAAAAAAAAAAAAAAAGGAAGAAGAAGAACAAATAATGAGTTGGGATCAGCTTACCAAAGAGGGCCATGGATAAAGGAGGGGTGGCACTGGGGTAGCCACTGAAGGGAATCGGATTATGCAATATCAGGGGAGCAGCAGAAGGAGGAAGGGGATCCACAGTATCCAGTGCTGCAGGGACAGGAGAGCCTGAGAAATGGTCATTGCAATGGGCAATCAGAAGCTTATGTTGAAGATATGGGTTACTCTATAACGATACAGATTTGGCTGCTGTAATAAAGACCAAATTAGCAGTGTACAGTGTATCTTCCTCACACAACAGCCCAGCATAAATAGTTCAGGGCTAATATGGAAGTGCCACGTTGATGGGGACACATACTCCTTATATCTCGTTGCTCTACTATCTTCAGCACACGAGGTTTCTATTTCAGGTCAAAAATGACTGTCCCTGACGTCCCTCTACATTCTAGCCAGGGTGCAGGTGAAAAGCAAAAGTGAATAGCATGTCCCGTTTCTTTTCAGAGGACATCCCAGAAGTTACATACATGGCAACACTTAGCTGCAAGGAAAACTTGAAAATGCAATCTTTAACTGGGCAGTCTGGTATGCAGCTAAAAATAATGGGTTCTATTTCTAAAAGAAGATGACAGATGTTGGGACATAACTCTCTGTCATAAAGGTCATTGGTCACCTTTGGAGTTACAGTTTTGTGTGAACCTATAAAATTAGCAGGGAGATGATGGAGTGAATAGAGGGGAAGAAGTACCATCTGAGAAGGCTGGTGTTGCTGGAAATAGAGAAACTCAGGATAGCTTGAGAAGTAACAGAATAGAGAGTTAGTTTGTACAAGAGAAGCAGGGAAGCAGGTTTGTTTGTGGAGAGCAGGAGAAACCAAGAGGTGATGCTGGAGAGGTGAGGACAGTTGATGGGGCAAGGCTCCAATGATACTGGGGTGAGAAGGGATTGAGGTTCAGTTGGAGAAGTTAGCCTTGGGCACTTCTTTTTTTCTTTGGGATAGGGTCTTGCTCTGTCACTAATGTTGGGGTGCAGTGGCACGTTCATGGCTCACTGCAGACTCAAACCCCTAGGCTCAAGGGATCCTCCTGCCTCAACCTCCCAAGTAGCCAGGACTACAGGCATGTGCTACAATGCCCAGCTAATTTTTTCATTTTTTTGTAAAGACGGGGGTCTCACTATGTTGCATAGGCTGGTCTTGAACTCCCAGCCTCAAGTGATGCTCCTGCCTCAGCCTCCCAAAGTGCTGAGATTATAGGCATGACCTTGCTTGGTCAGCCTTAGGCATCGCTTTCTTGAAACAAGAGAGAAGGCAATGAGTAAAGATACAAAGACATTTTTATGTGAAGAGTAGGAAAGCTGGCAGGTGCAGAGGTTGAGGCCACAGTGAGCTTTGATTGCACCACTGCACTCCAGCGTGGGTGACAAAGTAAGATCTGTCTCAAAAAAAAAAAAAAAAAGTAGGAAAGTTGAAGAAACCTGGATTCAGGTGTCCTCAATCCCTGCCATGCAGGTGAGATCATCTCCCTCCGTAAACTGTGTTTCCAAATGTGAAGGCTGCTGAGAACTTATGAAATCTAAGAATGAGGCTCCATCTGCCTCACTAGCATCTGATCACCTAGGGGCACCCTGCCTCCCAGGAGGAGGTTAATGAATATGCAATATGTCCCTCCTACAGACTTAGAACACCTGACAGAGCTGCCTCTAACCTGGGAAACCAAAGAGACACTGTGGGCACAGACTTGGCCCTCAATAAATATTTGTTATGTGAATGATTGCATGAATGAATGAACCAACACATTTCCTACCCCATGATTTTGGATAGTTGCACATGTTTACAACATTAAGATTTCTCTTAAGCAGTACAATTCCCTGCAGGCTGACATTCATTTCAACTGATTCTGTTTCCAAACCCGCTTCCTTCTTCTCTAAAACATGAGAATTATGTGTTCCCTGGAATTTCTGAGATGTGGATTTTACTAGGCAATGTCTGGACCTTCTGTTTTGAGTTGTCAGAAGAGCTTGTAGGGATCCACTCAAGCTAAATGTTGACTTCCTCCAGTTTAAAAAAAAATAACATCACCAATAGGTTGGTTTTCTTTTTTTCTCTTTAAAAGGAAAATATTCATTCATGGAAATCTTTTGTGTTTTGTTTCCAAATGCCATAATGTCACATCATTTCAGATGCCAAGCAAGCCATGAGAGGACTCAAGAATCCAGATATTTCAGACCAAGGAAACAAAACAACCTCCCGTCGCCTCCACTTCCCGCCCTCAGTTTCTGTAGTTGCTTCTCATGCCTGCTGTGCATCTCAGAGCATTTCCAGAGAAGATGGTGACATTGGAAGGAGAAGATCAGATCAGCCATCAACCACCCACAAAATCAGGATTTATTTTTTTAGAGACAGCATTATCTCACTTTGTTGCCCAGGCTGATCTTGAACTCCTGGCCTTAAGCCATCCTCCCGCCTTGGCCTTCCAAAGAGTTGAGATTATAGGCATGAGCTATCATGCCCAGCCAGGAAGCCTTTTATCATAGTCATTGTGGTGATGTGCTGAGGACCAGACAAACCAAATGACAAAGAGCTAGTGGCTGCTGCCACATAGGCAAAAAGGCCCCCTCTTGTGAGAGAGTCCCCTCCCTGTCACAACTTGCAACCTTGACCCTCCCCTGAGCTTCTTGCTGAAAGAAGCCTATTCTGCTGGTCAGACACACGACGTCGCCACTCCAGAGGAGAATCTCCAGATTCCACTCTTACAACTGCAGAAATGATTTTCGAGCAAAATGATTACATCACTTCTAATTATGATTCTTTTTTCTGGTCTCAACATGAGGAAGCGATGTGCTTGCTTTTATCCTCACCTTTAGATGTCAGCTCCTCTGGTCTACTACCCTTGGAAATCTCCCTGAACTTTTCTCTTTCCAGATATGGTATTCTGCAGAGCGTTCTCTAAAGCCCTGACTCTATAACACAAGAAAAGAACAGGTGTGCAAGGGAGCTGAGACAACTATCCCCTTCCTTCTCAAGTGGGGCGGCTTTTGATGAATATATTTGGGTCACTACCTCTGTCTCTTTTCTATTCTAAGGACACCGAGTTTCCCAATGTGCTGGGCAAGGAAGCAGGGCACCACTCTCGGTCTCATTCCCACCGTGCCTTCCAGATTGTTCCACTAACATCTGGCTGGAAACCACCCAGGGCCCCCATATCACTTATGTTTGACATGAGAGCCTCTAACTTCTCAGCCAGCATCCTCAAGTGGCCAGCGGGGCTCTGCCAGAGCACTAAAATTACAAGGTAGCATTTGTGTCCAATCCTCGGTTAGACACAATCAAATTGGTGCTAAATCTTGTCTGTCCTTTTCTGACCACATGGTTATGGTCACGGGTGATTTGTTCCTCTGTGAGGTCTATCTCAACCCATGCCAGGGTCCCCACGCTGACCTGGCCAGGGCCCGGATCCCTTTCTAATTACAGGGCAGCTAGCCTGGGTTCTTCTGCATCTGAATCTTGCCCCAGCCCTTCGTGATGCATCTGATATTTCAAACCCAGTGTTTGGTTCTGGGTGTCATATTTAAGAAGGACGGTGACAGATTTAGGAGAACACCCAGCTGGTGAGGAATCTGGAAACCATCTTATACCAAGAATGGTCAGAGAAACTGAGGACACAGGCTAGAGAAGAAAGAACTAGTGAGTGGACGTGGATAGACATGGTTGTTGTAGAAACTCCAACTCTGGATTAGGGCAGAACAAGGACTAGTGAGATACACGTGCTGTTTTCAACTCAACAGAAGGGATACCTTTCCTATACTAACCCCACTACACTAAAGTAGTGCAGACTGTTCTAGGAAAATGGTAAGTGCCTCTTTACCTAAATTGTTCTAGCAGAGATTATCTGGCCCTCCAGCAGAGATGTTCCAGAAGGAATTCTTTTGTTGGGTAGGAGGCTTGCCTTCCAACTGCTTAATTGCCTATTTCTATGAAGAAGACACAGAGAGGGTCTGGAATTTTTTGGTGACTATGATCCTGTTAAGCCGCGCTGCTTGCTTGGCTCTAGACATCAGTCAGCTTTCAACTATTATTATTATCCTTTGAAATTCTGACATGCTCTCCAGGAATTTTA